GTGCAAATGTGATCCTCACAACTGATCTCTGTATGCTCATTGTCACAATGCTGGGCCTCCCCAATCGCTGGGAAGGGATATGTTGATTGAAACTATCTCAAGCCCATTGTGGTCTTCAAACTTTGTTTTATTTGCTGTCCAGTTTTTATACTTTATGTTGGGCTGAGTCACATACACACCACCCTTCCTCATCACCCCTCATGCTGGTCTGGATTGCTCAGGAAGAGATTGTTGTCTGAGGGAACCTGATGATTCATTGGTGCATCTGTTTTATCTAAAACCATGGTAACCCTCCAGTCTCCCTGGTGTTGAGATAAGTGAAGCTTTCTTTGCAGTACATTATTCCTCAAGCTCATTGTCTTTTTGTCCTTGTCCTCTGAGCTCTCCTTCACTGTGGGGGTTTGCTGGTCTGTCAAAAGTACCTAGGCTTTAAGTACAAGGAAAAAATTTCTTTCCCCCAGATAGTCCAGATGAGATCTACTATATTTTCAGCATGGCAGAACAACAACAGGAGCATGATAACAGTGCAAAGCAGGGATCTGTACAACATGACTCATTCAGGACAGATTGCAATTCCATTTTTCCTTTGAAAGTGACAGTGTATTTTGAATAGGAATGAAGCACCAGCTGCCAGTGAATGGAAAACACAAAGAATGGGAAAACCTGTGCAATACTTATACAAAATACAAAACTACTAGTTTGAAAAATATAATTACCTTTCCAGAAGTTTATTTTTATATATCCTACAATGTAATGTCTGGCAGTAGATATTTTTTTGCCTAATATTGATCTAAAACTTGAAGCCTGAAGTTCTATCAATATTTCATGAATTATATTTTTTAAGTCAAGAATCTAATTACTCACCCTGAGGTTATTGATACAAACTATACCGTAAAAGAGCTTTATCTTATTGTGCTAGACTTTAAACATATATGCAAAACCATCACTTTAATTACCTGGATGATGTGAAACCAGAATACAAGCAAGGTAGCTGAAAACTTACAAATGGAAACGAAAAGCTGAGTATAAAAATCATGGGGATAGACAGCAAGTGTTCTCAGTGCTCTAGAGGCTTAGTCATTTGCCCTATCTCACATAATTAAATTTGTCTTCATTCTATCTTGTTGTGAATCTGTCCTTAGTCTACGTATATCTTAAATGAACGCAATTTTTAGTGATTTTGCTTGAGCACTGTCACTAGGAAGTATGGGCAGGGATTGGGAAGCAGAAAGAGAGGGGTATTGAAATTGGGTGTTCTGCTGCTAGTGAGGCACTAGTAAGTGAAGAAAAGAAAGGAATAATTCAAAAAACAACCAAACCTATTCTGGAATCCTTCTTTAGGCTAGTTATAGCATAGAGGTCTTGAGTCTATTTATTGCTTTGTGACCTACCAGTTCTGTATAAATAGTTCTATGGCATAATACATTTTTTAAGTCCCGGTATCATAGTCCACTCACCTGTTCATTCCTCCCAGGAAGAGAAAGGATGTATGCTTAGGACTACACCAATTCTAAGGAGACTCCACATTATACCTGTGTATTCTACTGCACCTCTGCAACAGGAAGCACAGTTGCTACAGCCTGGGGAAAAGCTGTGAATGCCTTTGCTACATGAGCAATTGTAACTGACTAGAAGAGTTTAGCTTGGGTTATTTCATGTTGGAAGAGGGGTAAAGCAAAGATCATTCCCATGTTAATTAATATCCTCATTTTCAGAAGTGATGCAGATTAGAAAAGAAAATTTTTATCTAAATCGTATTTGTTTTTGTCTCAAAAAAAACCCAAAACAAACCAAAACAAAAAACAAACCACCACAAAACCCAGCACCCCAAAAGGCATAGATTTGATATTGACCATGAATACATGTAGGGACAATCTTAGAAACATCTGAGATGTTATGATAATCAACTCTTATTTTAAGCTTTTAATATGACCACAGAGAGAAAATATTCCTTTAGTTTTATTAAATTATTAAATAGACTGAGGGAAGCTACTCTTTCCCAGTTTAGCAGCACAATATAGATAAACTGCTTATATGTTCTAATATGGCACAGTTTAAAAGAGTACACAGAAATTATGATTCCGTCTCCTACAGAAAAAATCAAAATATAACCTTTTATCCTCCCCACCCCCGCCCGAAAAAATGAAACCATTCATTATGTCTTAGTCCAGTAGTTATTCCAGCTTGGGATGTTCTTATACTGTGACATGTGTAACATCCTTAGACAAGGAGTGCTCCTTACTTTCATAAACACTAATTCAGATTCTCATCTGTTTCTAGTATGGATTGAGACCCAAAAAACAACAGCAAAAGATTGAAAACCTTGATTTGTAATACAAAAGAAAAGTGATTTTCTTACTGATTAAGGTAGCAGGAATGTAAATCTCTAGTTATCCTAAAGAATATTTTGTTAAAAAAAAAAAAAAAAAGGAAAAAATCTCCACAGCAGTAATTCCAATTGAGAAAAATTAGTAAAAGTCAGTCTAAAATAAAGGTAATAGTATAAAATAGATTCTATTCCACCTTCTGGTTAATATTTGTTTACACACTCAAAGTCGCTTATGTAAAAATCATAATAGTGTATCAAACCTTTCATTTAGGAAATGGGAGATAGAAAGGTAAATACAAAACCAATATTAGAAAGCCCGACAGCACAGATATTGCAGAAAAATTGCTAAATCCAATAAGAGATTTCAATCACTAAAACTCCTGAAAAAAAGGTTTATAGAACTTTGAATACAAATCAAACAAAATCACACATATGCATAGCAAATGAATTTATACAAACGCAAGGAGCGGAGGAAAAATCTTGTCTACAGTACGAACATGTACGTCAATGGGATTTTTGGGGAGCGGAAGGTGGAATTTTTTGTTTACTTCGTAGAGTTTACAGCATTGTTTAACGGACTACAGCAGACGGTGTTCTATCACGATCTGTGACGGAGCAGAAAAAAATGGCGAGAACCCCGCCCCTTTCGGTGCAGTCCCC